CACGGGTACCGGGAGGGGGAGAGGAGAGGAGAGCAGCGAAGGGGCGGGGGTGGGGGGGCAGGGAGAGAGAAGTAATACGGTTCCTGCATAAAGCTGTGGAGCAGTATGCTGCTGCAAGGGAGGTGATGCCCACAACGCACCAGCAGACGAACGCTATCTCCGGTCCTTTTTACTGGCTGGACTCGATAGTTCCTGACAGGCTGGTATTTGGGTTGCCCAACTGCAACAAACAGCAATACTACACCATGCATTACAAATGCGTGAAATACAATGTAAAACTACAGAAAATACCAGGCTCCTTAAAACCACAAGCCGCCTCTGACTCAACGCAACTCTGCCTATACCCACGGTCAGGAGAGCGGAGATGTGCTCCCCGTGCTGTGATGTAATATGCACGCGTTTGACTAATCGACCTTAAAAAAAAAAAGAGCAGTTTTAAGAGCAGAGCCTCAAACTTGCCTCCTTTCCCTCTGAATCCGTGCCCTTATGTCTTCGTGAAAACATATCAAATCTGCAGATTCACTTTTTTAATTGTAATTTTCAAAAAATAAAAACCTGCCAAGATGCTCTTTAAAAATGCATTCTATTAGCGGGATTTGGACGGGTTTAGTAGGCCATATACAGAAAAACCTCTGGCAGTTTCCTGGTGTCTAAGGTAATTATTACAGTAGAGGCCCTTTTTTTTGATCAGTAACGAATTTAGCAGTTGAACATTAAAAGTCAACTAACTGGAGGGCATCACTGCAGATGACAGTGTTGTGCTCTAACTGGTTAAGCCTTGTCCTCAGAGTAACCTTACAGTTAATTTAGCCTGCCTGGAGAAGAAAGCATCAGAGGGGGGGGCCGGAGGGGGGGAGCAGGATGCCTGTGGTTGATTGGGCCAGCTTAGTTGTGTAAATACACAGCTTGAGAGCTGCCGTTTTCATTCAGACTGGTTTAAAAGAAACGGTAACAAACAAACTATTTTTCTTAGCGATGCAGTGTCAATTTAAATCAATAAAAACATTTTCTAAATCCATAAAAGCATTCAATTAATGACTGCGGAGCTCATGTCGGTTACTTTTGGGTGTAGAATGTGGCCATGTAATAAGCCGGGCATATTTTGCCCACGGCGATCTTGGTCCTGCTATGGGGGTAAATAGCACCCGTCATGCAGATCAGGCATCCGCCTCGCTCACGCTTTTGGGATTCTGATCTGCCGACGAGGCTCCATTAACTGGAATATAGATACTTTGTAAGTGAATTACTGAGGTTGTAGGCAACGTTAATAACGTTTTAATGCAAGTGAATACAGTTCATTATTCATATGTGTTTTTTTTTTTCTCAGGTGAACTTTCGATGTCAATTTCGCGCCTGTATCTTATATACATAAATAATTCGGGGTGAAGATGATGAGTTAGATTAGGATTAAAAATCGAGAAGCCGGGCTGCATTTCCTCCCTGTACCGTTTTTTGTCGACTAACAAGCATTGATTTTTGTAAAATAACAACATGGGTGATGTTTTGTACAAATGCGAATTACATGTCTCGTTATTTAGCACAGGGAGTAATGATAGTCCGCCTTGACGAAAATGATGGATCTTAACAAAGTTGCCGCGTGACATCCAGCGTACTGTGTATCTGACTTTATTTCACATGACTGCCGTGTGGAACCCCACTGCACCCCCCTGGTGGATCAGATGATCCACTTGCAGCACTGGCTTTCATTATATTAAATGTATCGTATCAAGGGGGCGCGTCTCAAGTCAAGCTGGGGGTTTTCCCTTGAGCGAGGGCAGATCACGTACCAATCACGGCCCTCGCGTTTCAAACTGTCTGAAATGAATCGCTACACCTGTAAGTGCTGGAAAATGGTTTGACTTGATGCCAATAATACAGAAAGCTTATTATAATATTGCTCAAAATATATTAGAGGCAGCAAGAATACTACCATATGAGCATATGTCCTGCGTAGCGTGCATTATACAGTATATACATTGTTGTATATACATTATACAACGGCTTTGTCTGTGCTTTAGCGTAGTGTGGAAAGATTGTCCGACTTCATGCTAATAATTCGGAACATATGTTATGATACAATCGCAATATGATAGCAGCAGAGAGATGGTACTACCATAACAGCATATATCCTGCACATTATACAGAGGGTGATCACAGCTGCTCTCTGTTAAAGTTGCTTTGTCGATGCTGAAGTGCCAGAAAAATTGACTTCATTCCAATCATTTAGAAATCCTCTTATAATAAAGTAAAAGGCCTTATGATATCTCTCACATATTCGTCATGCATTTCTCTAGTTAACACCACAAGTGTATTTGTCTTATCTCCTCTCTAAATACTTTTATTTTAAACTTGTGATTTTTGTATAATATATATATATCTTTGCATTGTTGTACTTACGGACTCAGTGACTGTGGACTTGCTGATCTGGTAAGCTTCATTGAGGACCTTCCCATGCAGGTCATCCAGAATGGCTGCAGGGTGACGGATACTGGCAAAGTGCACCATGGACTCGATGTACCTAAAAACACACCCAAACACACACAGATGCAATACAACTGTTGGGAGCTGTTCCTTCTTTTGAATTATTCAACAGTCAAACATTTTCTTTCTTGGGTATTTATAAAGACAGATGGAGTGATTTGGCACCAGAAAAGGCATTTGGAGGACAAAATATTGTTTTTTGAAGATTTGATTGTCAAACCCTAAGGAGAGTAAATTAGATAGAACACATTTCTTGCCTTGACAGTGATTGTAGCAGCAGTTAGTGTCTAGTTTTAGGTTTATGAACAAATCACCGCGCCAAAGAAATACACTCTCAAAGGGTTATAGATATAAAATCCATAGATTTTAAAACACTCCCTCCATCTTTTACCAGAACTGATTCAGACATTAACATTTAATCAAATTGACTGTGTCTTGGCTTCTTTTCCACCGTCTGGCTACAGTTTACTCGTCTGAACACTGCGCTAGCCAAGAGCTAAGTGTGCATCGTAAACCCAGCAATGTTAGCCTTTGGCAAAATAAATATTAAAATTGGTAGAGAACCAAGAGCGAGAGCAGACTCTGAAGCACTGTCAGCAGAGTTTTACATCCAAGATGAAGATTTTGTAGGGATTCAATTTGCTTAAGATGGCAATAGACAACTTATAATTATGAATTTAATTTTTATTGCACAAAATAATGGCTGGAATATTATGACACCATCTGTGTTAAGACCTGTGAAATGCTGTCGGCCTTTGGGTCTAGATCTCCATTTCACAATGAAAGCCCTAGAAGGATACAAAGCGTCACCACCTACCAGAGAGCAATTTGCTAAAAACATTAGAGGGACAATCATAACAAAAAAATGCTTTCTGCTAAGTTGAATCTTACTTTCAGTTTAAAAAAAAAAGAAGAAATATCGGCACAATTCCACTCCCCCTCTATCCCAGCTTAACACTGTTAGTTCTGTGAGCCCTGTTGCTGTTGTTAACACTGTGAGCAGGCAATCCTGCCCAGACTCTGAATGTATAGCACCAGGGTGATCCATTTGAAAATGTAATGAGTTCCTTGGCCTGTGCTACACCCTATCCACCAAGTTTAATGAAAACCGGGCCAGTGGAAAAACAGAGAACTGTTCTGAAACTAGAAGTAGTAATTCAAAGAAAATACTACACGAAGCGTAGTTCCTACCTGTCCAGGGATTCGGCAACGAGGGGCGTGAGCACCACGTTGACTGCCCCCTTCACCTCCACGATGGCGGTGGTCCTGGTCTGAGCGAGGGGCTGCTCCAGAGTCCAGTCGTCCGTCGTGGTGTCCTCGTCCGTGTTCTCCATGGCCCTCTTATCCAGCGGGGTGTATGGAGTACTGAGGAGGAACAAAGAGACAATCTTTGATCGCACGGCCCCTCGTCCTATTGTAAAGCATCCTAGGGTTTCCTTAAAGGCGCTACACAGACTAGTTTGCTACAGTGTAAAGTGGTGGATGCTGATGAGAATACTAAGATACTATATATAAAACATACTTTGTTAAGTGGATGTTTTCAATTTTCAAAGTAGTTTCAATTTCAGCAACTTATAAAAAAAACATTTCCCGTTGTGGTTACTGTTTTTGCATTTTTCCTTCAACGGTATCTACATTGTTGTTTATACATAGAAAGAAAATATGAAAGGAAGAAAAGGAAAAAAGGGATGGGGGTTCTAGGAGTCATATTCAAAAGTGAAGCGCCAACATACAGTATGGTTTCCTATTTGTGCACCACATTTCTACAACATTTATTTGAGTTTGTTTGTGCCCATTTGAGCATGATTTTGTTTTAAATTGTTAATATAAGGACACAGTTTGTAGTAGCATACCTGTTGTGTTCCCCCATCAGCTGCAGTCCTCTGTCCAATAGAGAGCTGGCTGAGAGGCCCTGCTTGATCACCTGTCATGTAAAACAAAGTGTTAAGTTAAACGGATGTCCTGAAACTACACGTATATACCATTTCTACTAATGTTTATTTGTTACTTTGGAATTTTTCTGAATTGAATGTTCTAAATTCAGACCTTAAAGCTGGGAACAGAGAGCTGGTCGAAGGAGGCGCCGCTCTCCTCGCTGGTGGGCGTGTCCAAATCTAAGGGGCGGTGCAGAGAAGACTTGGAAGTCCTCTTATTGGTTGGCTGCTTCACAGACCAATTTGAGACCTGCCACAAACAAAAGTGTTAACATTTGACCAAAAACTGAAAACATAATAAGAAATTATGAATTTTAATCCCTTGATTACGTTTTTATTTATGATTTGAAGTCTTCATATCAATTGTTTTAAGGCTAAAAACTGTACACAGTTCATATTTGACTGGAATTACTACCATTTGTCCGGGACATTAAAATCTTCCCAGTCACAAATGGTATTGCTTGTCTACACAGGAATATGGATGATTTGTCTAGATTGTTGAAAGACCCTAGTTTTTACAAGTAGTTTATTTGACCACATTGAAAGAGTTTACCTGGTAGTGGGCTAGATAATTCTGGTAGCATGCCATGACGTGGGGTTGCCGGGTTACGGGGCCGGGTTCAGCCGTCTTCTCCGCCTCCACGGAGCTCTCCTCATCCATGGCCAGCGCGGAGACGAAGGAGGCCTGGGACGTGTGGCTGGGCAGGGGGTGG